GACACAGAATTGTTACTCAGGGACACAGAATTGTTACTCAGGGACAGATACAGAATTGTTACTCAGGGACACAGAATTGTTACTCAGGGGACACAGAATTGTTACTGAGGGACACAGAATTGTTACTCAGGGACAGACACAGAATTGTTACTCAGGGACACAGAATTGTTACTCAGGGACAGACACAGAATTGTTACTCAGGGACACAGAATTGTTACTCAGGGACACAGAATTGTTACTCAGGGACACAGAATTGTTACTCAGGACAGACACAGAATTGTTACTCAGGGACACAGAATTGTTACTCAGGGACACAGAATTGTTACTCAGGGGGACACAGAATTGTTACTGAGGACACAGAATTGTTACTGAGGGACACAGAATTGTTACTCAGGGACACAAAATTGTTACTCAGGGACACAGAATTGTTACTGAGGGACACAGAATTGTTACTCAGAATTGTTTACTCATTGTTACTGAGGGACACAGAATTTTTACTCAGGGACAGACACAGAATTGTTACTCAGGGACACAGACATGTTACTCAGGGACACAGAATTGTTACTCAGGGACAGACACAGAATTGTTACTCAGGGACACAGAATTGTTACTCAGGGACAGACACAGAAATTGTTACTCAGGGACACAGAATTGTCACTCAGGGACACAGAATTGTTACTGAGGGACACAGAATTGTTACTCAGGGACAGACACAGAATTGTTACTCAGGGACACAGAATTGTTACTCAGGGACACAGAATTGTTACTGAGGGACACAGAATTGTTACTCAGGGACACAGAATTGTTACTCAGGAACACATAATTGTTACTGAGGGACACAGAATTGTTACTCAGGGACAGACACAAAATTGTTACTCAGGGACACAGAATTGTTACTCAGGGACACAGAATTGTTACTCAGGGGGGACAGGGACACAGAATTGTTACTCAGGGACACAGAATTGTTACTCAGGGACACAGAATCGTTGAATTAAAGAGTATGTCAGACAACACGCAGAGGAGTGGCAGAGGAGGCAATGTTTCAGGAGCGAGCAGACGTGGCAGCAGAGGAAGGGGTCGAAGCAGCACTAGTCTCAGCCAGAGGCCAGTGCTCCCGGTGTCATCCAGCGGTCGTGTGTCTCCACCGACAACCCTGCCGTCATCGATTGGTTGGCTCGGTCGTCTACTTCCTCTTCCAGGTCACCTCTGACACCTACAGCCACGGTCGGTGGGTACGTCAGACACAACCGTTAGTTGGCATGGGCCCGGGAGCAAGCCCACTGAAATCACGTGTCCTCTACCTGCCCCTGTCCTTTGGTGTTCCCTCACCAAGCGAAGTATCGCATGCTGTGGGCTCAGCCCCCACTGTACAGTGAGGAAGAGCTAACAGAGGGCGGTCAGGAACGGGGGAGACATCCGCCTCTTCAGCAGCCAGGCGAAGAAGTAATGGTGAGGAGAGTGGCTCGGTAGCCGGTCTAGAGACAGGTCTGTCTCCTGACCCACACGCTGCCGAGGGGGCTAGTAGTGAGGCGGAGACCCTAATTGATGATGATGAGGCTGATCGCACTTGGCAGCCTCGTCGTCATCAGGCTATTGCTTCCGCATCATCAGGAGAAGAGGGTGCCAGCTTGGCAGCGAGCAAAACAGTCGGTGGGTTGCCCAGGAGGCAGCAGGGTCGGCAGCAGTGTCAGTGGAGGCAAACGGCCACGGAGTAGAGCACCAGCTCCACTTCAGCCTACCACCACGGCCAGTAGTGGTGCCGGTGTGCACGGAGGAAGTAGCAGTCAGCCAGTGAGGGGTAGCGGGGGCAAAGTTTCCTACTCGGCGGTGTGTCAATTTTTCGTCAAGCCGCCCGAGGAAGTAAACCTAGCCGTATGTCGACTATGTGGCCAGAAAGTCAAGCGTGGCCAGGGGGCCCATGTTGGGACTACAGCGTTGCGTCAGCATATGCAGCGTCACCATTCGGTGGCCCTGGGAAAAACGTGATAAAGATACGGGCGGTTCTGCCTGCCCCAGCCCCCGCTCCATCACCCCCGCTCCGTTACTTGCTCCGTCACCCGACGTCAATTCGCCCTCCATCAGCCAGTCAAGGCTCCAACACCTCTGCTGAGGGAGTTGTCGCTCGTTGGCATCTTCCGCTCATTCAGATGCTCCTTCTCCTGCTACTCCTCTTCACGGATTCCGTCAGCAGTCTTTCTTGGAATCCGTTTCCAAGAGACAACAGTTTGCGAGCACGCACCCGCGGTGCAGAAGCTGAACGTCCTCCTGTCCAAGTTGCTGGTGCTGCAGTCCCTCCCTTTCCAAGTGGTGACTCAGCACACCTTTCCGAGAAATGATGGCTTGTGCGCGCCGCGGTGGAGAGTGCCAAGCCGGCATTTCTTCGCCAAAAAGGCAGTGCCAGCCCTGCATTCACATGTAGAAGAGATGGTGGGCCAGTCTTTGAGCATGTCGGTCTCTGCCAAAGTGCACGGCAGCACCAACGTGTGGAGCTGTAACTACGGTCAGGGACCGTACATGTCATTTACGGCCCACTGGGTGAACGTGGTGCCGGCACAGCGCACCAGCAACTTGGACAGGTCACGCCGCTTTTGCCTCCACGTTTGCACGTCCTTGGTCCAGCAAAGATGTCCGCCTCTACCACCTCTTCTTCCGCCGTGTCCTCACTCAGCCGCCACCCCCGTGCCAAGTCCCATTACCCGACCGGCATATCACATGTGCAGGGCGCAACGGTGTCACGCTGTGCTGCACCTGGTATGCCTTGGCGAATGTAGTCACACAGGGGAGGAACTTCTGAGTGTAATGAACAGAGAAATCGACAGATGGCTGTCTCCGCGCAAACTGAAAATCGGAACCATGTTGGACCGACAACGGAAAAGAACATGGTGTCTGCTCTGCGTCAAGGAAGGTTGTGCCATGCGCCATGCATGGCTCACGTGTTCAATCTGGTTGTCAAGCGGTTCCTAAAATCCACCATCCCACTGCAAGACATCCTTAAAATGTCACGTAAACTTTGCATGCATTTCAGCCATTCCTACACCGCAAAGCACAACCCTCCTTGAGCTGCAGCGGCAGAACGGAATTCCACAGCATCGCCTGATCTGCGACGTTGCAACAAGGTGGAATTCAAACCCTACATATGTTAGACCGCCTTTACGAACAGCGAAAGGCCATCACCGATTTCCTGATGTTACAAGCGGATAAAGGAGTTACTCCCCTGTGTAACTTAGATGTCAGCCATTGGCAGCTCATGCGTGACACCTGCCGCTTGCTCAGGCCCTTTGAGGAGGCCACGCTATTCGTGAGTCGGCAGGACTATGGGATGAACGACGTCATTCCTCTGTTGCATGTCCTGGAACAAATGTTGTTAACAATGGCTGGTCAGGGTGCGGTATAGACGTGGCGCACAGATCTCAACGCCACATGACCCCTGTGGGGGCAGGACAGGAAGAAGAGGAGGAGGTAGAGGAGGACATTGGTGCTCAGGAATTATTGAGTGAAATGGGTGGTTTTTCCACTCAGCGGACAGGAGTGGAGGAGCAGGAGCATCTGATTGAGGAGGAGGAGACAGAGGACCAAGACGCACCGTGGCAGTATGCTGTGGAGAGATGGGAGGCAGGGAGTCCCTCGCATTCCTTGGCACAAATGGCCCATAGCATGCTCGGTTGCTTGCGTAGCGACAGCCGAATAATAACCATCAGACAGAGGGATGACTTTTGGCTGTCCACCTTGTTGGACCCTCGCTACCGTTCAAAAATGGTGGCCTTTTTCACACCTGCTGAGAGGGAGGCAAAAATAACGTACTATAAAAACCACCTATGTAGTCAGTTGGTCTCTCTGCCTTTCTGCGCCAACGTCCATCCGTCAGACACTGTGGGCCCTGTGCGCTCGCGTTCCGCTGCCATGGCAGCAGGGGAGGGGTGGGGTGGTAGGAGCAGTGGCAGCTCCACCAGCAGCGGCTGCCTCAGTCTGCAGTCGATGATGAGTAGCTTTCTTCACCAGCGCAGTGAGGAAACTACTAACCAGCCGCAGCTAGCAGCAGCATCAGGTGGACCTGGAGCAGGACCTCAAACAACAGGCTTGGGCCTACTTGGGACAGCACCCTGCCAAACCGAGGTAGACAATCCCCTTGACTACTGGGCAACGAAACTTGACCTTTGGCCCCAACTAGCTGAATTTGCCTTGAAAGGCTGTCATGCCCGGCCAGTAGCGTGGCATCGAGCGGGCGTGAGCGCGTGTTTAGTGCGGCAGGGAGGTATTGTAACTCCGCGGGAGGACACAACTGTCCACCCAAAGTGTGGAGAGACTCACGTTTGTGAAAATGAATCAGGCTGTGGATTAGTCTGGATTTCAAACCACCAGTTCCTGACACAACTGACTAAATCCGCCATGAATCATGCCCCAAACATGTTATTATTTTTAACATAGGCCTCTGTATGGCCTTCAATTTAAGCTGCTTACTCTTCGCCACTCTGCCATGGGCCCCTGTCTACAACCGCCTCCTCTTGCTGCTGCCAGGTCCAGAGTGTGTGTCATGGGTCCCTGTACGGCCTCCCATTGCTGCTGTCTCCATCGCCACACTCTGCCATGTGCCACTTTCAGGTCTCCTCACACTGCTGGTGGGTTCCATTTTGTCATAGGGTGCTGGCAGATTACGTGGCCTCCCATTGCTGCTGCCAGGCCCGTAATCTGCCATGGGCCCCCGTACCGACTCCTCATGCTGCTGCCAGGCCCGTAATCTGTCATGGGCCCCTGTACCGCCTCCTCATGCTGCTGCCAGGTCCAGAGTGTCTCATGGGTCCCTGTACGGCCTCCCATTGCTGCTGTCTCCATCGCCACACTCTGCCATGTGCCACTTTCAGGTCTCCTCACACTGCTGGTGGGTTCCATTTTGTCATAGGGTGCTGGCAGATTACGGGCCTCCCATTGCTGCTGCCAGGCCCGTAATCTGCCATTGGCCCCCGTACCGACTCCTCATGCTGCTGCCAGGCCCGTAATCTGTCATGGGCCCCTGTACCGCCTCCTCATGCTGCTGCCAGGTCCAGAGTGTCTCATGGGTCCCTGTACGGCCTCCCATTGCTGCTGTCTCCATCGCCATACACTCTGCCATGTGCCACTTTCAGGTCTCCTCACACTGCTGGTGGGTTCCATTTTGTCATAGGGTGCTGGCAGATTACGGGCCTCCCATTGCTGCTGCCAGGCCCGTAATCTGCCATGGGCCCCCGTACCGACTCCTCATGCTGCTGCCAGGCCCGTAATCTGTCATGGGCCCCTGTACCGCCTCCTTTGGCTGCTGCCAGGTCCAGAGTGTGTCAATTCGCACCCCTGTACGGCCTCCCATTGCTGCTGTCTCCATCGCCACACCTCTGCCATGTGCCACTTTCAGGTCTCCTCACACTGCTGGTGGGTTCCATTTTGTCATAGGGTGCTGGCAGATTACGGGCCTCCCATTGCTGCTGCCAGGCCCGTAATCTGCCATGGGCCCCCGTACCGACTCCTCATGCTGCTGCCAGGCCCGTAATCTGTCATGGGCCCCTGTACCGCCTCCTCATGCTGCTGCAAGGTCCAGAGTGTCTCATGGGTCCCTGTACGGCCTCCCATTGCTGCTGTCTCCATCGCCACACTCTGCCATGTGCCACTTTCAGGTCTCCTCACACTGCTGGTGGGTTCCATTTTTGTCATAGGGTGCTGGCAGATTACGGGCCTCCCATTGCTGCTGCCAGGCCCGTAATCTGCCATTGGCCCCCGTACCGACTCCTCATGCTGCTGCCAGGCCCGTAATCTGTCATGGGCCCTGTACCGCCTCCTCATGCTGCTGCCAGGTCCAGAGTGTCTCATGGGTCCCTGTACGGCCTCCCATTGCTGCTGTCTCCATCGCCACACTCTGCCATGTGCCACTTTCAGGTCTCCTCACACTGCTGGTGGGTTCCATTTTGTCATAGGGTGCTGGCAGATTACGGGCCTCCCATTGCTGCTGCCAGGCCCGTAATCTGCCATGGGCCCCCGTACCGACTCCTCATGCTGCTGCCAGGCCCGTAATCTGTCATGGGCTCCTGTACCGCCTCCTCATGCTGCTGCCAGGTCCAGAGTGTCTCATGGGTCCCTGTACGGCCTCCCATTGCTGCTGTCCCCATCGCCACACTCTGTCATGTGCCACTTTCAGGTCTCCTCACACTGCTGGTGGGTTCCATTTTGTCATAGGGTGCTGGCAGATTACGGGCCTCCCATTGCTGCTGCCAGGCCTGTAATCTGCCATGGGCCCCCGTACCGACTCCTCATGCTGCTGCCAGGCCCGTAATCTGTCATGGGCCCCTGTACCGCACTCCTCATGCTGCTGCCAGGTCCAGAGTGTCTCATGGGTCCTGTACGGCCTCCCATTGCTGCTGTCTCCATCGCCACACTCTGCCATGTGCCACTTTCAGGTCTCCTCACACTGCTGGTGGGTTCCATTTTGTCATAGGGTGCTGGCAGATTACGGGCCTCCCATTGCTGCTGCCAGGCCCGTAATCTGCCATGGGCCCCCGTACCGACTCCTCATGCTGCTGCCAGGCCCGTAATCTGTCATGGGCCCCTGTACCGCCTCCTCATGCTGCTGCCAGGTCCAGAGTGTCTCATGGGGTCCCTGTACGGCCTCCCATTGCTGCTGTCTCCATCGCCACACTCTGCCATGTGCCACTTTCAGGTCTCCTCACACTGCTGGTGGGTTCCATTTTGTCATAGGGTGCTGTATGGCCTCCATTGCTGCTGCCTCCACCGCCACACTGTGGCTCCACACTCTGGTTTTGGCCCCGTGACTGCCCAAATGAGTGAAGTGTGCGGTGATTCTAAGATCGACGGCACTCATCTGCATGTCATACTGACTGACAGTATTATTTCTCTTCCCCAGCAGACTCCAAGGGCATTTAAATTAAAGGTACAGTGTTCTGCACTAATATAAAGGCTCTCTGAGCCTAGAAACACCCTTTTTATAAGTTAAATTCGCAGCGAATATATTCGCCTCGAATCGAATTTATTCCTCGAATTCGCCGAATCTAATTGTTGAATACTTCGCTCATCTCTAATTGTGACCTTTGCATGCTATCCATACAATTGTTTAAAACCTTGTGGTCAAGCTTTGGTGTCTCTGAAGGCTCTCTCCCTGTAAGTAAGGCTTCATGTACATGCGCCTACCCTGACTGCTGGCTGCAGCAAAACCGTGTCAAAACACGGCAACCGCGGTACCGAGATTTTGCAGCAGTTTTGCAGCATTTTGTGTTTTTCCATGGTCGGCGGTCAAAACGTTTCTATCCTGAACGCGATTCTTCTGCGTTCAGGAGAGGGAGGTTTAACCTCACCTAAATGCGGCAGCTTCTAAATTCTGCTAAAAGCCTATGCGTACATGGACACATAGACTTTTATGGAGTCGAGTTTAGGAGCTTTGGCAACAAAATGCCAAAGGTTCCTAAACTAGAGTTTAGCAGCTGCTCGTGTGCATGAAGCCTAAATCTTTATTTGCGGTTAACACATCTTGATATGTAACCCTTAGGTGCTTGACTCTGCCTTATGTTACTTCTCAATTGCCCGAACACTGTTTTAGTATTTTTCCCCCTTTGTTACCTGGAGCCTATTTTGGGGTATACTACCCTTTTTCTTAAAATGGAGTCTATAGATATTAGGGTCATTACATGTCTTGTTGTGCTAATCTCTCCAAAGACCTGTTGTTTTCAAGAGGAGCTTATCAACTTTCAAGGTTTTTAAACATGAGTTTCTGAATATTGGAACTGGATATTTTAGTTCCTCTAGATATTGGGATTCTGGTACAGCACTGACTATTACATCTACACTAATGTTCCTTGACTTCCTTTCTTTTGCATCATGAAATGCATAAAAGATCCTTTCTGAACATTGTGTGTGTCCTGGATTATTGCAGTTCCTCTTATACTAAGTGCCATCTCTCTTTCTATTTACCAACATTTTCTGATTGTTGATTTATGGGAACTCCATCAACATACTTTTTTTTTGTATTTTCCCTCAGTACTATTTTGCATTTCATCTTGAGTTGCAGAATCTCGTATTTGAATGCTATATCTAGTTTACTACTGTTAGAGGTGGTTTTATGGAACACAGAGTTTCCTATATCTTACAGGAATCTCTATGAGTCCAACTTTTAGACTGGTTTCTGCTTCACTCTAACAAAGTGTGCACTACCCTCTTTTCTGGAGAAAAAGTTCTGTTTCTGGATCCCTGCACCTGAAATTTTACCTCCTTAATGCAACTTTTTTTTTATATTTATTTCTTTTCTCTTTACCTTCTTACATGTATATTCTCATTTATAGACAAAATAATCCACAGCGAACAAGGGGGAAAAATATCAATCCTGCAGCAGCTAATTTAAAACTTCAATCCTCCAGGAGTATTCATCATGACATCAAACAAGTCAAGTAAATCCTTTAAGTAGCACTCTCACATATATCCACATGTAACTTTTCCTTTTATATAGGTGTATAGATCCTTTACTCCTTTCTTAAAAGGACTCGGTACTCTACTTTTCTTTGTTTCACATCAAAGGTTTTCTTCCTTCTCTCCATTTATCGAATGGGCTGTTACAATACAGATCTCCTTTTTTTAAGTCAAGGATTATGGTTATTCTACTTTGACAGGCAGCTGTTCACTTGTTGGTCCTTGGTCAGGACATACTTTGTCCAGTGTTCCTTTCCCTGAGGTCAAATGTTAAAGAATATGTAAACCCAACATTTCATATTCCTGATATGTGCCTGCTGTACCATGTACCTGTATGAAAAAGTGTCCTGTTCTCTATGTATTGCTTGCTTTGTGTGAAATGCCTGATTTTCCTGTGATTCTCTCTGCTATCCTTTTAAAAACAGATCACTCTAAGTAGGAGAACACACCGTGGTCAGTTCTCTAGCTGTGTCGGGAACTCAGTCTGTTCCTCCAATGATCAGACTTGTTCTGACATACCATCCTGCACAGCCTTTCACTGGGAAGATCAGTCTGTTGCTGTTTCTCCTCTCCCAGCCCTTAAGCAGCTTAGAACAGAGGGAATGCAATCACTTTAAAAAAGGAAAAAGAAAAGGTATTTACAATATTTTTTATATGTATACACAAATGTTTTGCCTTTCATTTTTATTTTAAACTGAATGGGCTGTTTTACAATGTGAGGGATTACAATCACTTTAAATATTCTAGGCTTTGGCTTTCAATTTACCAACATTCTTGTTGTGTTAACCAACGTTGCTTTTGGTCTGTGTTTTCTCCTGCTTGTTTATTCTTATGGTGGTTACTTTGTTGGCCATTCATATTATTTATTATTATTATTTCAGAATAGCAGTCTCCCCTTAGTGGTACTATCCTTCCTGTTCTGGAACCACAGCTTCCTTGTTGGTGCCTTTTGTGGTTAGTGGCAATTTCCATAACTGCTCCAATTTTTGTGTAGCCTTGTTCAGGCATTGATTCCTTCAAATATTCTTCCCCTAACATTTTAGTGGATTTGATTTCTCAGTGGTTGTTGCTCACCCCTCAGGTGGACTGCTTTAGAATGTCCAAGTTGTCTAAGAAATACAATATTCTATATGCCTCAATAAATGATAAGGACAATAAAATGTTTGTGCTTAATGTAAAATATTTTTCTTGACGTTCTTTGAGGGATGCAGGTCCCACCCATCTGTGTTTATTAGCTTTATGAGGCATGAATGTTAGGGGTGTGGCTATAGTTGGCCTGGACATTTTTACTGTTTGCCAATGTCCATCTTCTAAAGACAACTGCATATAACCCTACTTCCTAAAAATTACTCTCTTCTCATGTACCTCACTGGAGTTCAGGAAAACGATTTTACAGTGAATGCAAAAGTCCTATTTTCCACATTTACAATATAGAAACATAAAAAAAAATTGCTTCAATTAGTTTAATAAATTATTTAGGTTATGATGTTAATTAATTAGCAATGTAAGTTAGGTTAATAAAGCACAAAGCACACGTGCAGTATACAGAAGGATTTCATTTAGCCTTCATCTCTGTCGAGGGGTCAGCACAGAAGGCAGTGAAAATCAGTTGAACAAACAGGACAGCTGAAGTGGAAATCCCTAGTGAATGTCCCAGTTCTATTTAGGAGGGAGATAAAAGGAAGACACACACATTGAATACACAAACTGCAGAAAAAGATCATATGCAAAAGAATAGGCTCTTGTGACATGTCAGGAAAACAATTTGGCCCTTTTGCTCTTTGAAGCGAAGTTCCCTGATGTCAAATGATATGTAAACAGTTGCTGTCTTTAAACATAGAACATTTCCTGACAGTTGAAAAATGATTTTTATTGTAGATTTGTTAAAATCAAATCAGGCTGACAAGTATGGGTCAGTTTAGTTCATTTCCAAGTCTTCATATCCCTGCAGAAAAAAAGGGGGGCTGTGTTCAGCAGACAGGCATTCATAAGTGATATGGTCTTTCTTTCTGATGAAATGAAAGGGTATTCCTCTGTGTACTGTGAAATATATTATATATCTTCCACATAGTTGGGTAGGGATCAACTGCCAACTTCTTCACGTAGTGAACGCCTGATTGAAGCTCCAGCTGTGTTCCAAAGATTGAAAGAGACCTTGAAAATGGCAAAGCAAGGCTCAGCATTCAGAACTGACAAAACAAATCTGACAAGAAAGGCAATTGCTATTCTTTTGGAGTGCTCATCATGGGAAATGTCATTGAAAAGAAAGTCAGATAAGGAAGATAAGAAAAATAATTCTTGTAACTCAATTGTAAAATGCATCTATTTTACATAACTATATTAAATGTTTGTGAATACTTCTAAACATACTTTATTTTTCAATGTGAGTTATTTGAATTCACCTTAGAGAAGACAGTTTTCTTTGGAGCAAATAGTTTAAATGAACCCAAGCAAATCTCAATATGGTTCAGGATTTATGAGCCTAAACCAAGATTAATTTGGTATTTTAATTGGCTATTGGCATGGCAATATTTATTGTAGAGCTTCAGACAGCAATGAAGCTTTCTCAGTGAACTCTTGTTACTATTCAGGAAACTAGCAATGAGATTTGGGTTCACACACAAATACCATGAATCCTGTTTGTGGTGAATCCTTTATGTTCAAGGTTTGCAGAGCTGGTAGAATAATAACATAATGCGCTGCCTGGCCTTGGAACTTAGGTCAGCTTACTTAGAAGGCCCAATAAGAGGGCTTTTGGATAACCCCGCCCCCTCACTATAAAATCTTTTTGATGAGGACTGCTGAACCTCATGCGGTATAATTATTATTATTATTATACAGGATTTATATAGTGCCAACAGTTTGCTCAGCACTTTACAATATAACAGGAGACAATACTGCAACAATACAGTTCAATACAAGAGGGTTAGGGGGCCCTGCTCCTTGGAGCCTACAATCTAAGAGGGAGAGGCTAGTGGTACAAAAGGTAGAAACTGTGGGGGATTGACTGGTAGGAGGAGAAGAAGATTCCATTATTAGCTGAGGGCAGGATAGGCTTTACTGAAGAGATAGGTTTTCAGAGATCACCTAAAAATGAGCAGAGTAGGTGATAGTCTGATAAATTGGTGTAGAGAGTTCCAGAGGATGGGGGAAGCTCTGGATAAGTCCTGGAGATGAGCATGGGAGGAGGAGACAAGGGAGCTAGAGAGCAGGAGGTCGTGCGAGGAGCGGAGAGTACAGTTTGCGTGATATTTGAAGACAAGATTGGTGATGTAATTTGGGGCAGAGTTATAAATGACTTTATATATTATTGTTAATATTTTGAATTTTATTCGTTGGGCAATGGGAAGCCAGTGGAGGGATTGGCAGAGAGGGATGGCAGATATGGAACGGTTAGTAAGGTGGATGAGTCTGGCAGCAACATTCATGATAGACTGAAGAGGGGATAGCCTGTGATGAGGTAGGCCAAAGAGGAGGCAGTTACAATAGTCAAGGTGA